GGGTGGTCAGGGAGGTGACCCTGAAGGAGGTGACACCTCAACTGAGAAGGGACCAGCACAGCAGAAGCCACCTGAAGAGTCTACTGCCACATGTGTATCCAGGACAAGGGTCTGGGGCACAGGGAAGATGCCTGATATGTATTTGTTAAATTAATACTCGGGTTAAGGGAAGAAAAAGCTGCTAAAACAGGAGCCTAACTCTCAAGGGGTCCCAGCCAGAGGCTGGCTCTTCAGGGAGCCATTCTCACCAGACTGAGCTGATAAACGGGGCAGGGACGCCTGCCTGGCCAACAGCAGGGCCCTGTGGAAAGTCTGCAGCTGCAGAGTTAGCAGAGAACCACGGCTGTGGTCTTGGGCCTGTTTCCCCATCTGTCAAGTGAGGTTAGTGCTTTGCTACCTCAGCCTCTGAAGTGAGCTCCAGATGATACAGTGCTTTGAATAAACAAGCCACGTGCGAGCGTGAGGGGCTGTCATGCTCCAGGTCCTAATGCCAGCCCAGCAGCACCTCCCTGTAACACTGGGACCTGTGAGCTTCAGACAAGCTGCTTTGTCTCGGGAAGGTTCCCGTGCTCTGCTGCTCAGCCCACAGGAGGTGTCACCTCAGCGCCTGCCTTCCTGCCCACACGCACTTTCCAGGTTCACTTACCATGTATGGGCCTGTGCTAACAGAGATAAGAGATGGGTCCCTGTCCTTGAGAAAGTCACAGGGAGTCCAGAGAGTCAGATGAGCAAACAGGATGATACCCTGTGGGACCTGAGGGAGGGGACACCCGAGCTGCTGCTGAGGCCGTCAACAGCCACCACTGGGGGGAACAGTGGAGGCATTGTAGGTTTCCTACCTTGTTTCCTTTTGCCGTCACAGTTTTGGGAGGTTATCTCCATTTCATAGATTGGGGTCAGAAGCTGTCATCTGTCAAGGTCACAGAGCCTGGACTCGCACCTGGGCCGGGGTGACTCAAGTCCTTGCCCACGGGCACATTACCATACCGGTGTGTGTGTGCTGGCAGTGGGGGAGGCAGGGAGATAGGAAGAGCCTATTGTAGAGGTGACAGCGTGCTCTTCATTTAGAGACTGGGGCCAAGGGGTAATGGTAGGCAGTGAGGCTGGCACAAGGCCCAGGTGGACTGTGGCTTTCTTGTGAAGAAGCTGATGTGAGCAAATCCACAAATCCGGCCGCAAGGGAAAATTTCTCTGGGCCTTCTGCACAGGTCATCCCCCTGCCCCAAGCCGGCCAGCCCCTCAGAGGACATTCAGCAAGGGCATCCCGTGTCCTGCAGCCAGAGGGCCACATGGGAAACCTAACTCCTGCCAGCTTCCAGCTGCTCTGACTGGGACCATGCCCAGGTGTCACTGTCACTCTGGTCTGCTATGAACGGTGCCAGGCAAGGGTTCACTCTCCCTGGAGACCCAGCTCAGCTCTTGCTGAGCAGTGGCCGTTGTGGGGCAGGAAGAGCCGAGCTGGGCCTGACCGCTGGTACTAAGCGAATTCTAAGGAATTTGCAGATGGAATTACGGTTACTAACAGGCTGACCTTAAAACAGAGAGGTGATCCTGGGTTAGCTGAGTAACCCAAAGTAATCACAGGAGCCCTTAAAGCAAGGAAGGCAGAAGAGAGACTCCAGACATAAGATGGGTTTGAAGGAGGTCACAGGTCAGGAAATATGGGGGGCTGAGAATGAACCCCAAGGCCTATGGCGGGCAAGGAGACAGGAACTTCAGTCCCACAACTCGATGGAACTGCATCCTGCCAACACAGAGCACAAATGCAGGTTCACCGCCCAGTGCCCACACCCAGATCTTCCCTTGCGACTCAAGTGGAGCACCAGCAGGGCATGTGATGCTGACTTCTGACTCTCAGTTCACGGGGGACAGTAACTGGGTGCTGCTTTGAACCGCTACATCTGTGGCAATTGGTTACCGAGGTAGTAACTCATCAGTGAGCTATCGGAAGAAAGATCACCTGGGCTGCAGAGTGGAGGGAACAGGGCCTAGGTTGCTGGCGGTGAAAGGACACCAGTCCCGCTGTCGGTGGTACGCTGGCCACAGGAGCATGTCCTCTGGGACGGGAGCATCGCAGTCATGAGTAGTGTTGAATGCATTCCTTCACTCAATCATTCAGCCAATGTCTCTCAAACATATCTTAATATAAGTGCTAACTGGGTGTCTGGAGCTCAAATCTCATCAAAGGACAGAAGGCCAAACAGATGACACCCAGTGAAATAAGTCCCAGGATAGGAACAAGGTCCCCACCCCTACCCCACCTCTGACACCCAGATACTGTGGGAGGTGAAAGAAGGGTCACTGGTCCACCAGGGGTCGAGAAGGTTACTCAGGGCTTGAAGCCCTGTCCTGGGTCTTGGTGCCCAGGAAGGAGAGAGAAGCCATGTCAGGGTAGGCCACACTCAGGGGGTAGCAGCACACTGGCTGGGCTGGTGCATGGACCGTAAGGGCCCTGGCCACCAGGTGTGCTGGGATCAGCTCAGACAGGAAAGTTGGGACCGAGGATGCCAAGCAGGGGAGAAAGGCTTGGGTGGAGACACATCCCAGGACTTTCCCATCCTTTAGGATAGTGACCTTCAAACCATGTGAGCCCCTGCCCTCTGGGGCCACATGCCCCCACACACCCTGACTGGGGAATAGCGGCCCACGCCGGTGGCCTGGAGCACCACACCCACACACACCATCTGTAAGTGAATGAATTCACACTTTGGTTTGTGTACCAGCCTCGGGGACTGCTGTGCCACCAGCACCTGGCACATCGCAAACAATCCATGTTAGCTTTACAGGTAAATAAAAGGCACAAAGGCAGGTGCCTGAGAGACTGGCCGCATCAGGGAAAACAGGGAAGGAAGGGAGTCTGATGCCCACGACAGGATGGGGGAAGGGTCAAGGCCTGCAGGCCAAAGGAAGCCAGCTGGGGACAGATGGCAGACAGCATCCCTGACCCTGTGGCAAAAGCCTGGAAGCTGGCTCTGCCCTCCCTCAGGAGCTGGGCAGCAGAGCCACCACTGCACCATGACCTCTATACCCTCTTCTCGGATGGAGAGGGTGCACTTGTTCTGAATGAGGAGCTCAAAGTGGGAAAATATGCTCCGAGCTTTGTTTTCGCCACAAAGCTGGCAGCAGAGGCCCTGCGTTCATCTGACTACTTAGGAAATTGGGAAGGACTCCTGACTGTTCTCACAGGGTCCAGAGGACCTGACTGCCACCAGCTCCCGGGGGGTGGGGGTGGGGGTGCTGCCGGGAGCGCCTCCCCTCCACGGGCTCTGCTTTCCTAGTGTGGTCATACTACTTGCACGTCTCTAAATGAAAAGTGCAAAGTCCCATGTATTGATTCATCGACCCCTCAAAACAATCCCGTGTGCTTTCCCAAGCCCATTTCACAGATGAAGAGGTTGGACTGGTGAGAGAGGTTTCCACTTTTACAAATTTTTAGTTGACAAATCCTTCTTGGAAGAAAAGAGTACAAAAAAGACCAATGTGTAAAAGAGATTGGAGCAACTCTGTTCAGGGGAGGAGCGGAGGGAGATAAGGCTCCCCAGAAACAAGAGTCTGTGCAGACACATCTATGTCTGAGCCTGAGGGCTGGTGAAGCTCACTCAGCTGGACTCCCTTCCCCAGGACCACAGATTGCCTGCGGGTAAAGTGAAGTTGTGGAGAGCGCCTCGGGTCTGGGACTGTCCGCCCCACACCCTGGATGCCCTGCTCATGCCCGCCTGGGGCAGGGCTGTGAAGGTGCAGGAGGGCCACTCCGCGGAGGCCCGGGCAGGTGATGCGTTCCTCTGATGGCCTGTCCCACTTCAGAGCCCAGGACCTACAACATCCCACACCCACTTCAGGAAACAGGACTAGGAGTGACTGGGGAGAGCAGGAAGGAGGGCAGCCAGGGCTCTGCTGAGCAGTGGGACAGCGGGGAAGACAGGCAGAAATCCTCCAGAGTCTGCCCAGCTGGCCAGAGGGCGAAAAGGTGCTCCAAATCACAGACCCGCTGCAGCCTTGCTCTTAGACACCACCGAGGTCTGTCCCCCAACTTCACAGACCAGGAAACTGAGGCCCAGAGAGAAAGAGGTGAATTTGCCTAGGTTTCTCAGCTGATGTGCGGCAGGGCCTGGACAAGAACCCACATTTCTTGACCTCTGGTCCACTACCCTTTTCCAAAGGAAAAGGGAAACATTGTTCTGCGAGAATAACACGGAGACAGGGCCAAATAAGTCAAAATGAGGACTAGACACGTGAAGGTAGAAGCCCTGTATCTGCGACGCGATTCTCTGCTAACCTGCAGATTCTCTGCTAACCTGCCCATTCTCTGCCAACCTGCCGGGTGACCTGGAGCAGGAAGCAACCCCCAACCCCGGTCTGGATCCAGTTTCCTCCCCTGCTCCGCAGGACGCTGTCCAGGGGCCAAGTGGCGTCTAACACCCTCACCAGTACCTTCCACTCTGGAGTGAGAGGGACAGGTACAAAAGCGAACACCCTTCCCAGCACCCTCCACTCTGGAGTGGGAGGGACAGGTACAAGAGCTCCGCTGCCGCCTGGGATCTCCGCACAGCCACTTCGCAGGCAGCCTGAGAAACGTCCGTTGCTCCGCCAGGCGGAGTTCTGCCCCACGAGTCTTCATCCCAAGCAAGGCTCCCCCCACCTCGTGCACTGGGTCTACGCGCGGGCCTTTTCCTTTGAGCTGCCGCCGCCCCTGCGCCGGCCCCCACAGGTCTGTGCTCATGTATATCGCCTTGCATACCTGCACCCGCTCCCTCGCTCGCAAACTCGCGCACTAGCCCGGCCACCCGCCTCTGCTCGCGCACGCGCCGTTCCCCCACGCCGCGCGCAGGGTGCTGGAGCCTCACCGCGGGCGCATTAGCCCCGGGCGGACTCCCAGGGAGCAGCGGCGAGCGCGGGGAGGGGAGGATCCCGGCAGAGGGGAGAAAGATGCCAACGCCCAGGCCCCGCCCTCTCCGCCCGGCCCCGCCCCCGCAGGGCCCGCCCAGGCCGGCAGGGAGGATGTGAGCTCACTCCCGCCTCCATGTTCCTGGAGTCGCCTGAACGCGTCCGCCCGAAGTCGCGGGCCGCCTGGGGAGTCAGCAGCGCGCCAGGCCCCTGCGGGCGCCACACGCATTAGGTGCCTTCTTGATGGGTACGGAATGAAGGCGGGCGGTGGCTGGGCCGAGGCAGCTCCCAGTCGGTAGCCGCCGCGCCGCCCGTGCCCGCGCACGCCACACCCCAGCGCGCTTCCGGCCAGGCCACGTGATCGCGCGCGCACGTGTTCCGGCCTCTCTGCGTCGCAGTTCGGAGCCTCCTCCTGGTCGCCCCGACATTGGTCCACCGGGAGCCGGCTTGGGCCGGGCCCGGGAGGCGGCGGCTAGGGGAGCCGCGGAGACGCGGGCGCTGAGCGTCGCGGGGGAGTAGGCCCGGGCCGGCAAGCGGCGGCCTCCGCCATGAACCCCAGGGGCCTGTTCCAGGACTTCAACCCCAGTAAGTTCCTCATCTATACCTGCCTGCTGCTCTTCTCGGTACTGCTGCCCCTCCGCCTGGACGGCATCATCCAGTGGAGCTACTGGGCCGTCTTTGCCCCCATATGGTTGTGGAAGCTTCTAGTCGTCGCAGGCGCCTCGGTGGGCGCGGGCGTTTGGGCCCGCAACCCTCGCTACCGTGCCGAGGGAGAGGCCTGCGTGGAGTTCAAAGCCATGCTGATCGCTGTGGGCATCCACCTGCTGCTGCTCATGTTCGAAGTCCTGGTCTGTGACAGGGTGGAGAGGGGCACCCACTTCTGGCTGCTGGTCTTCATGCCTCTCTTCTTCGTGTCCCCCGTGTCTGTGGCTGCCTGCGTCTGGGGCTTTCGACACGATAGATCGCTGGAGCTGGAGATCCTGTGCTCGGTCAACATCCTGCAGTTCATCTTCATCGCTCTAAAGCTGGACAGGATTATTCACTGGCCGTGGCTGGTGGTGTTTGTGCCCCTGTGGATCCTCATGTCGTTCCTTTGCCTGGTCGTCCTCTATTACATCGTCTGGTCCCTCCTGTTCCTGCGGTCCCTGGATGTGGTTGCCGAGCAACGAAGAACACATGTGACCATGGCCATCAGCTGGATAACGATTGTCGTGCCCCTGCTCACTTTTGAGGTCCTGCTGGTTCACAGATTGGATGGGCACAATACATTCTCCTACATCTCCATATTTGTTCCCCTTTGGCTTTCCTTACTAACTTTAATGGCCACAACATTTAGGCGAAAGGGGGGCAATCATTGGTGGTTTGGCATTCGCAGAGACTTCTGTCAGTTTCTGCTTGAAATTTTCCCATTTTTAAGAGAATATGGGAACATTTCATATGATCTCCATCACGAAGATAGTGAAGATGCTGAAGAAACATCAGTTCCAGAAGCTCCGAAAATTGCTCCAATATTTGGAAAGAAGGCCAGAGTAGTTATAACCCAGAGCCCTGGGAAGTACGTTCCCCCGCCTCCCAAGTTAAATATTGATATGCCAGATTAAACTCCTAGAGAGGACCCAGCCACACACGGACTCCACCTTGCCTTTACCTCTTGTTCATTCATCCCAAACCTGGAAATGGAAACAGGCTTCAAACACTGTCGTCTCACGCCCTGTTTGAGATCACCGCCTCATCAGTATGCATCATAGATGGAGGTGGTTTTAGTATGTGGGTGTGTGTGGTGTGTACCTGGGTAAGAGACTTGCTTTCCAGGTTCGCACTTTCAGGTGTAGCCGGGGGTAGTAAGTTGGATTGTTTTAGTAGGTCCTCAAAAGGAATAACTACACAGCTGTTTGTTTAAAGTGCTACTGTACCTATCTAAAGTATTGTTTAAAAAGTATTTTTATACACTGCTAATCTAAAATTGTATTTCAGAATGTGCCTGTTATGACATAGTAGCAAATGTAAAGAATTCTCTTTCCCACCACTTGTTTATAAACCTCATAGTTGATATTTTTAGTGTTCCTACTGTTAAAATACCTTCTCCTTGGGCTTCGCTGATACTGGTCTTTAATATTCTGATAGGTGAATTTTTCTAATGGAATGAACCCATGCATATATAGTATTTATATGAATATTTTAGCAGTGTAATATGTTGAATTCTAGTTTTCTGCAGTACCATGTATTATGTTAAAGTGTTTTTTAAAGCTTACATGTGAAGATACGTGTCTGTCGCAGATGTCCTTAAAGACTGCATAAAACAATATGTGCCTGGTGTGGATCTTACCAAAGTACTAGGCATGAATTATAGGGATTGCAAATCCCATGGATCTTAATATTGAGGTGTTAGTAACCGAGGTCTCTGGTAGTACCCCTTAGTAGAGGAAGAGGCTGCTGCCCTTGGGAGCTTGTGACACGCTCCAGTGTGGTACCAGGCCATAAAGTGACATAGTTACTTTGTTTAGTGCCTTTGTTTAGTGCCAAGTTGTTTAGTACCTTGCATTTTTCCACACAGGTAGTAACTGGAAATAAGCAATAAGTGGTTTGTCCATTTCTAAGAATCTTAAACTATTAGTTGGCTGTAGTGTGAAGCTATTACTTGTCATTGGAAAGATGGAGAGAGTGGCCTCAATCAGAAGTGGCCAACAGAAGCAGGTATCATTTTAAGGTCCAAACTTTCATCTGTCAGCAATAGGGAAACAACAGTTCAAATTCGCTTTGTAGATGAGTACAGTGTTTCTTTTTGTTTTTCTTTTTTTTGAGACAGAGTTTCACTCTTGTTGCCCAGGCTGGAGTGCAATGGCACAATCTCTGCTCACCACAGCCGCTGCCTCCTGGGTTCAAGTGATTCTCCTGCTTCAGCCTCCTGAGTAGCTGGGATTACTGGCATGCGCCACCACGCCTGGCTAATTTTGTATTTTTAATAGAGAGAGGGTTTCTCCATGTTGGTCAGGCTGGTCCCGAACTCCTGACTTGAGGTGATCTGCCCACCTCGGCCTCCCAGAGTGCTGGGATTACAGGCAGGAGCCACTGCACCTGGCAAGTACAATGTTTCTTTAGGTGCTGGTGGTACACCAGGGAATCAGGGCAGAAGCCGGATCCTGCAAGAGTAATGTTCGTCTGAGAACAAATAAATACTTTCAAAAGGAGGTTAAAATAAAAAGGAATGTTGGTGTTATTACTGTGGAGAAGATGGGATGGAGTCCACTTTTCTTATTAGTAACTTACTAAAAATGATCTAAACTGGACTCTACACTCTTTGCCCTGACCATGAGGCAAACTTGTTGGGTTTGGAGAAAAAAACGTAACCCTAAATTTACTATTTTTGCCCTGTATAAAGCATTAAAATAACATGCTCTGTACACATGCTCTCAACAAAACCCAGAATGCCTGAGGGAGCTACAGCTCGGCTTAGTTGGCTGGGACTGAGCTCGCTCGCCCTCTCACACACTGGCAGTTTATACCAGCCGGCAGCCCTGAGCAGCAGTGGATGTGACTTTTTATAAGTAAGGATACATTCATTCATTCATTTTCTCAGTATTTCTTGAAGACCTACCCCAAGCTAAGCATGGTGCTAGGCAGTGGGTGTGCAGTGGAGAGCAAGCGGCCCTGCCCTTGCAAAGTGTCCTGTACAGTGAGAAGTGTGAGCCACACCCACAGAGGGAAAGAGCCCAGTGCAGCTTTTGCAAAATGCAGGGAAGGATGCTGCTAGCCTCAGGGTGACCTAGAACTTTAAGCCCATCTTTGTGTTCAGGAGCCCGGTGCCTCCCCTCCACCCCTAAAGAATATCTCAAAGACATGGATTTTCATTTCAGTAAGATTTAGAGGTGCATGGGCAGGCAGTGCTGGAGGAATTGGGAGGCAGGTTTGGGGGTTGCAGTGGGACCACTGGCCCCTCCTGGCTAGTTGCAGGCCAGGAGCTTGTTGGTACCTGGTGCAAACTCCCCAACCTGAGGAGTCCCCCACAACCCCCCAGCCCATCTTAACCTCTTCCCCCAGGCTATCTGGTATTGGAGAGCCAACGTCTGGTATGGAAACAAGCTTTCTCACCAGGTAGGCCATCCGCTGTCATGACCATTAGGTTAAAAACAAGTGACAGGTTGTAGGAAGTTGTTTGGTCTGTGAGGTTGAGAGCACTTCAGCAGTGCCTGGGGATTTACCTAACTGCCATGAAACACTGATTATCCAGCGTTCAGCATATATCAAGTTCTGTAACTATTTCTCCTGTGATGTACCACTCAGCTTTTGCTGCAAATCAACATCAGAAATCTCGGTGGTCTACAACTGCAGATTCCCATTCTCGGGTAGTCTGCCAGTTGGCTTCTAGGTTATGCTCCAGGCCGGGGGTCTGATCAGGTCTGCTCCACAACACATCCCCTATTCTGGGTTCCTGGTCAAAGTAGCAGCTTACCTTGGGCCGTATTCTTTCTTATGGCAGAAGCATGAGAGGCCGAGCCCTATCCTGCAAGCACAAATAATAGCCCCTGCTCACTTTCTGTTGGCTGCAACACATGGCCATGCGTGACCTCTGTGGGGTGAGGCGGTGCATGGCCAAGGAACAAGCACAGTCCACATAGGGGGCTGTCACTCCATGACCTCAGTGGTACAAAATGGTTCTCAAGAAATCGCAAGGAATTGCTTGCAGATCATCCATGATTTGTTTCCCTTGTGCTTTACAAATACCCTGAAATTTGTTTTTATTTATTTTATTTTTTTATTTTTTTTTTTGAGACGGAGTCTCGCTCTGTCGCCCAGGCTGGAGTGCAGTGGCCGGATCTCAGCTCACTGCAAGCTCCGCCTCCCGGGTTTACGCCATTCTCCTGCCTCAGCCTCCCGAGTAGCTGGGACTACAGGCACCCGCCACCTCGCCCGGCTAGTTTTTTGTATTTTTTAGTAGAGACGGAGTTTCACCGGGTTAGCCAGGATGGTCTCGATCTCCTGACCTCGTGATCCGCCCGTCTCGGCCTCCCAAAGTGCTGGGATTACAGGCTTGAGCCACCGCGCCCGGCACCCTGAAATTTTTAAAAGCTGTTTCCGTTAGAAGGGATCTGTTGAGGATTTGAGATGTGATGAGAAAGACCCTGCATTCCAGCCCCTCGGTTAACAGTGGTGAGGCCCGAGTGCTCCACACAGGACAGTTTTAGGAAAGTGCTGGAATCCAAAGCTTCTCCGGAGGGCTATGCAGGGTGCTTTGGAAAGGCCAAGCCTGGGTGCAGGGAGCCCAGCCTTTTAGGTGGAAGCAGCAGACGGTGAGGGAGGCCATCCTGCCCGGCCCTGCCAGGGCCCTGACAGTGAAGGAAGCTATTGGGATACAGGTCACTCAGCCGGGCAGGAAAGATGGGATGAAGCCCAGCAAGTTCACAGGGATCCGGGAAGTTGCATGGCTGGAAACCCCGGAAGGGCTACACCACAGGGACCATTTGCTGAGGATGCTGCAGCTGCCACGGCCACCACCACTGAGAGCATGACATCCACAAAAAGGGAGCCTCCAGCCTCACCCCTGCTGCTGTGAGTACTTCCTCAGCTGTCTGCCATGGGCTCAAGATTAAGTAGCAGAAGGGAGGATATGATCGGGCAAACCTCAGGTATGTGTTCATTCTGTAGCTTCCAGAACGTGCGAGGAGACAGCATCTGGCTCCTTAGTCTCAAAGAGGAGGAGGAGGCAGGACTCTGCCCAAACTCCCTCGATAAAAGATTTTCCCAAAAGGAAGGGTGTTCAGATGCCAAAGATGACAAAAGTCCACTACACCACTTTACTTGGCTATCTGACACAGTCTCTTCTTCCCATGCGCACGCCTCAGAAATCAGGCTCCCACCTGACATAACACAACCATGCCTCGTAACAAGACAGTGGTTTATCCCTTCCCTAGGAGAAAAGAGGCAATGCCAGGCTGCTTTATCAACTGTTAATACTTCTTCCAGCCCTCAAACCAGGATATCTGCAGGTGTCTCTCCCTCTGGTTTGGTCATGGCTCTCTCTATTGTAGGATGTATGGGTTAAAGTCAGCTGCCACACCATGCCCTCGGAAGTGTGGTCCAAGGACCCCTGGGGTCCTCAAGGTCCTTCCTTTCCCAACCCCACGTGGTTTTCTTCAGCCAGGATACCACACTGCAACGGATGAAGCAGGAATAATACTGTTGGTCATGAGGAATCCAGCAAAGATACTGGTGATTGTTAGGTGCTTAATTGAGTTAATTAGGAAGGGATCATTTTCATTAATAATAGAGTTATGAAGCGAGGTTGTCCTATTGGAGTGAAGAAAATAATAAGGGTACTATAAACAGCTGTTAAGGAGGTGGCAATAAGAGTAATAAGGCTCAGGAAGGCAGAAGCAGCTATGAGGATGCAGCAGCCTTCTGCTAAGCCAGGCTTTAAGGGTCTGCAAAAATGCAAAACGATGCCACTGCTACTGATGATATATATTTTTTGTTTTGGAAAATCTAGGTTTAAATTTTTTTAAGTTAACATGTAATAGATGTATAGTCTTAAAATGGATGAATAAATATTTTTCAGAGTTATTGGCTTTAATTTCTAAGATGCTAAATGTTGACGTAATTCATAAACAAAAGCTCGTTGGGGTCCTCAATCCTTTTCAAGAGTGTGAAGGAGTCTTGTGACCAAATCATTTAGAACTGCTATCCTATATTATCATGGGGGAAAGAGAGAATAAATAAAAGTTTAATAAAATCTGTGCTTCAACCTTTAGCCCAACCCCTGAATAGGCTTGAGTGGTGGTGGTGGAGGGGGAGGGGGTTGAACGATGAACTGTGGCTGAATAAAAACCTAGCATATTGGAGAAGTTAAATATCTGTAATGGGCACTTTAGTTTAAGATTATTAGTTATCAGCTTGAGCTCTATTGCTAGTAAGAGGCCTAAGGTGGTAAAACCTAGGGCTGTGAGCTTTAGGTGAAGTGGTGTAGTTGTTTGGAGGGATGAAGCAGGAATAATACTGTTGGTCATGAGGAATCCAGCAAAGATACTGCCGATTGTTAGGTGCTTAATTGAATTAATTAGGAAGGGATTATTTTAATTAATAATAGAGTTATGAAGCCAGGTTGTCCTATTAGAGAAGAAAATAATACAGTACTATAAACAGCTGTTAAGGTTTAACAGCTTAAGTGTTAACACCTTAACAGCTGTTAAGGAGGTGGCAATAAGAGTAATGAGGCTCAGGCGTTGCTCTATGATGTATTTGCGGTTCCAGTGATAAGGTCTTTAGAGTAAAAGCCTGTGAGGAAAGGCGTATCTGTAGGTGCAAGGCTGCCAATAATAAGGGAAGAGGACGTGAAGGGTAAAGTCTTGAATAGTCCTGTTTTTCGGATATCTTGTTCATCATTGAGGTTATGGATAATGGAGCCTGAACTTATAAATAATATAGCTTTTAAAAAGGCGTGGGTGCAGATGTGAAGGAATGCTAGATGCGGCTAATTAAAACCAGCTGTGACTATCATAAGGCCCTGCTGGCTTGAGGTGGAGAATGCACCTGCGCAGGTGCTGGGCGGGGCCGGCAGCGGGCGTGGTCTTTCCGGGCCCGGGATTGGTGGAGGCTCCGGGGCTGAAGAGGCGTGGCCGGAGCCCTCCCCAGTCTCCTGCTCTCCCGAGCCTGGCGGCTCGCCAGGATGCTGAGCCCAGAGGTCACGGGACAGAAGGTGGCTGTCAGGCATTCCCCGGGCGCTAAAGGGCACATTGCTGTAAGTAGGGTGGTAATAGCCCCTAGACTTAATGTAGAGGTTTAGGATTCATAGGTTATTTTCCATTAAAGGGTAGAAACGGATGAGTAGGAAAACTGCTACAGCTCCAGTGCTGGAGTGGAATAGGGCTGAGGCTGGGGTTGGGCCTTCTATGGCGGATGGGAGTCAGGGATGGAGCCCGAATTTAGCTGACTTTCCTGCTGTTGCTAAGTAATTAATGGAAAGGGGTCGGGGGTACGGTTTAGAATAAATGCGTATTGAAAGTCTCATGTGTTGAAGGATAAGAGAAATCATGCTATAGCTAAAATAAAGCCAATATCGCTGATGTGGTTGTACAGAACTGCTTGGAGGTCTGCTTGGTTAGCATCTGCTGGGCCGTATCATCGGCCAATTAGAAAGACATGATTCCTACGAAAGGGCCGGGCGCAGTGGCTCACGCCTGTAATCCCAACACTTTGGGAGGCCGAGGCAGGCGGATCACGAGGTCAGGAGATCGAGACCATCCTGGCTCACACGGTGAAACCCCGTCTCTACTAAAAATACAAAAAATTAGCCGGGCGTGGTGGCGGCGCCTGTAGTCCCAGCTACTCGGGAGGCTGAGGCAGGAGAATGGCGTGAACCCGGGAGGCGGAGCTTGCAGTGAGCCGAGATCGCACCACTGCACTCCAGCCTGGGCGACAGAGCGAGACTCCGTCTCAAAAAAAAAAAAAAAAAAAAAAAAAAAGAGTTGAAAGAGGTTGTTGGCAGTGACCAGAATTAATATTGTGATGAAAAAAGTAAATATTTGAAAAATTGATTGTTACGGTCTGAGTTTCATGTTGAGAATTCTACAGTAGATCAGGTAACAAATAGTGCTACTGGGATAAATATTGTGGGAAAGTAGTTTGAAGCTTAGTGAGAGTTTAAGAGTTTGGATTGTCATTCAACGTCAGTTTGAGATAATGACTTCTTGGTCTATACATATAAACATTGTTGGGATGAGGCTAATGGTGAAGGCGCATGCGATAGATACTTCTACGTTGTTTGGGTATGAACTTTTTTTGCGGGGGTTGACTAAAGTGATAATAATTCGTAGGATTAAGGGGATTAGGGCTATTATAGTAGTGGAAAAATACATATTTGTTACTTTTCTTTGGAGTTGCACCAATGTTTTTGGTTCCTAAGACCAACAGATAACTCTAATCCCTTAAAAGTTGAGAAAGTCATGTTGTTAGACATGGGGGCACGAGTTAGCAGTTCTTGCGTACTTTCTCGGCAGATAAGAAGTTGCAGGCTTCTATTATTAGATCCACAATCTAGTGTTTTGGTTAAGCTATAGCTACAGCGTGTAAACCCCATCACAATTTTAGGGTTTAAGGGTAATAGAAGGATAGGTGCGACATGCATAAATATTAACGTATTTTCTCGTGCAAAGGGAGGTTTAATATTGTTAATGTAATACGTGAGTGTCCCTCGTTGTGTTGTGATTAATACATATAGGGAGTAGAGGGCTGTAATTAGTATGTTAAGTCCTGTGAGCATAATAGTGATACTTGGTCAGGAGAATGAAGCTATGACCACAAAGAGTTTTCCTACTAGATGAATGGTAGAGGGTAAGGCAAGGTTAGTGAGATTTGCTAGAAGTCATCAAGAGGCTATTAGTGGAAGCAGTATTTGAAGGCCTCGGGTAAGTAATATGGTTCGGGTATGGACTTGCTCATAGTTCGAATTTGCTAGGCAGAATAATAAGGATGAAGTGAGTCCATGGGCAATTATAAGGGTGACTGCACCTGTAAAGCTTCAAGGGGTTTGGATGAGGATAGCTATGATAGCAAGTGCTATATGGCTTATGCAGGAGTAGGCAATAGGTGATTTTAGATCGGTTTGTCTTGACAAATAGCGCTTGTCATAACTATTCCTCATAGGGATAGTATGAGGAAGGGGTAGGCTATATATTGTTAGGAGACTGAGGATAAGGGTAAGCCGTATTATACCACAGCTGCGTAGCTTCAGGAGTACCGCTGCAAGTACTACTGAGCCGGCAATAGGCGCTTCTACATGGGCTTTAGGGAGTCATAGGTGAAGTTCGTATAGAGGTATTTTTACTACAAAAGCCATAATACATGCTAGTCATATAAGATTATTGGATCAGGAAGCTAATAGTTTTTGGGTGGTAAATATCATTACTAGCATGTTGAGTGAACCTGAGGTATTTTGAATGTAGACAAGTGTAACAAGTAGAGGGAGGTATAAAATAGGAAATATGAGCTGGCATTGAGGCACTCTGCTTGGTTACCTCAGCAGGTGATAGTAATCAGGGTAGGAGTTAGTGTAGCTTCAAAGAGGATATAAAATATAATTAGTTCTGTGGCTGTGAATGCTATAATTAAAATCTGCAGGGAAACCAATATAGAAACATAGAGCTTTTTTTCATGGGGCTGACTCATCGGACAGTTGATATTGGCTTGCTAGAGTTAGTAGTCAGGCTGTTAAGATTAGAAGGGGCGATGTCAGTGGGTCAGAAAAGATTAATGAGAAGTTGGGTGAGTTATCGTTGAGTTGGTTAAAAAATAATAGGGTAATGAGGCTGATGAGTAGACTGTGGGTAGTCATGTTGGTTCAGATTTTAGAAATTTTAGAGAATCATGTTATTGGTAACAGTATAATTGTTGGAATAATAATTTTTAGTATTGAAGTAAATTTAGGTTTTGTACGTAATCTAGACCATATGTGTTAGAGATTGAAACTAGTAAGGCAAGACCTGCGGCTTCATAGGCACAAATACTAGGAGGATGACAGGCGTTATGGATGCTAGAGTGAAATGTATATTTAAAGTTGTAAGAGTAATTATGATAAATATTGATAGTATTATGCCTTCTAGGCATAATAGGGATGATACTAGGTGGGACTGATAGACTAATCCTCCCAGTAGTGATATGGTATATGCCAGTATAATATTGATACAAATAGAGGGCATTTGGTAAATATGGTCTATCAAAATCTAACGCATTAAAATCATTTATTTTGACTTACGCTACTTACCAGTTCAACTCAATCTAATCCTTTTTGGGTTCATTCATAAGTTAAGCCTGGGATGAAAATGATAACTAGTATAAGGGCTGTGCTGATTGTTAATGTCAGGTTGTTTGTTTGATGGGCTCATGGCAGGGGCAGTAGTAGAGCGATTTTTAAGTCAAAGAGGAGGAATGTGATGGCTACTAGGAAAAATTTTACGGAAAAGGGGAGGCAGGCAGAGGTTATCGGGTCAAATCCGAATTCACAGGGGCTATATTTTTCTATATAATAAGTTGTGGGAGCCGAAATGTAATTATTAGTAGTAATAGGACGAGTAAGGTGTTGGTCACTAGGGCTAGTGTCAGGTTAATTACTCTTTTTCGGATACTGTGGAAACCAATTGTTTGGAAGTCAATGGTACGATTTCTACTAAAAGAGTAGGATTCTCATCAGTAGAAAGAGACTTAGAAGAATAGTCGTACTACATCTATGAAGTGTCAATATCAGGTGGCGGCTTCCAAGCCAAAGTGGTGTTTGGATGTAAAGTGGAATTTTAATTGGTGGAGGAGGCAGATAGTGAGAAATGTTGATTCGATAATAACATGAAGTCCATGAAACCCTGTGACTGTGAAGAATGTTGAGCCGGGCTGGGCGCAGTGGCTCACACCTGTAACCCCAGCACTTTGGGAGGCCGAGGCGGGTGGATCATGAGGTCAGGAGATCGAGACCATCTTGGCTAACACGGTGAAACCCCGTCTCTACTAAAAATACAAAAAAGCAAGGCGTGGTGGTGGGCACCTGTAGTCCCAGTTAATCAGGAGGCTGAGGCAGGAGAATGGC